GTCGATCCATAACTCGGGGTCCTCTGAGTCGTACCCGGTGAACTTTGGTAGGATAGACTCGATGTGCGCTGTACAGGCCATGGCTGATGCAGATTGTTGTTTTGACTTCGATCGCGTGAGCATGAAAAACTCGATGTTGAGAGAGGTACCCGGATTCTCCACCAAATATAACCCGTGAGGTTATATAGACAAAGTAAGACAGTAAGACGAAGTGGTACTTGGGATGATGTGGTTTATTCGGTTGGCTGTGACGCTCTCTGTCTGATTCCTAGATTCTACTGGGTTTTTATACAGTAAATGAACATTCCAATCTTACAGCTATCTTACAGGTTTCTTGCCTTATTAGGAATCGTTCAGTAACTATTGAATATTAATAATACAGAATTGAAGGTGTTTGGTCAACTTGTATCTGGGGGCAGGGCTAGGCAAATTAATAGAACAATCGGATTTCCTTATAAGTCTGTGGGCTGAATCACTGTGGCCTTCCGGTGCAGCCCAGCATCCACCCACGCGGACCTTGTGGCTAAACTGGCCATTCCTTAGATGTGTCTCATTACCAGGAAAGTGGTCCTGTTCCTTGAAGGTCAACGTATACAACTTAAACAGTAAATATAAAACATGATATTTTATCATGGTGATAGTACCCTTCTTTAGAATTTGAGCAGTATTGTTGCTTCAAACGAACAAAATTCACAAATTATGGACTAAGTACACCTTTAAGAATAAAATAGTATCACAGTCTAGTGGCATACATGTACCTGCGTAGTTTTTTGTTTTCAAAATATTCAAACCATCAAAAAGCTATTTGAATATTCGGTTGATGATCAAACATTTTTGAGTATTCCGTATATTCAGGACAGCTGTAGCACATCATTGAATTTTACCAGTACAAGTTGGAGACGTTCCCGACCAACTGTTACTGCATGTTCTTGTGTAGGTGCTTCCACCAGATGACAACCCATACCCTCTGTTGCAACTAAACGTACACACACTGTTCCATCGGTTGGAGTTGGTACAGGAAATTTGTCCATTAGCGAGATTTGTCAATGACGGGCTGCAAGTTCGCACTGGGGTTGAAATTTCACACAAAATGAGGAAAAATAATGGAGGATATATTTGTACTTCCAACTTTCGAGGGCCATCAAGCCCATGTGCACTCCAAGGATCTTGGAGGGTAGGAGAACATTAAGAATTTCTGACCTGGGAAAATTCACAAAATGATGACCTGGGGTTATTCACAAAATGCTGACCTGGGGATATTCACAAAATGCTGACCTGGGGATATTCACAAAATGCTGACCTAGGGTGCACCTGGAGAATGTGTAAAATTAATTTATGCAAAGTGCTGACCTGGAAATGTCAGTGTGTACAGTGGAATCAGGGGATGGTGGGGGGACTGAGGTGGATAAAAAAAAAACGGACAAATGTTTATTACAGTAGAATTTTCATATAATGAACACTAGCTGTTGTAGATAAATAGATCGGTTTATTCATCCACAAATCGTGGCCCGAAGGCCAAATTACATGTGAATTCAGTATTTATTTAAAATTAAAATCATTAAGTAAAACCTTCTGTTAAAACATTGACAACAATAATTAGCATGAATTACACTATATCATTATGAACGTTTTAAAAGATTAAGATTTTTTTTTTGAATTTTTATATTTTTTAGTGCATTGGGTTTTGTTTTGTTTTTGTTTTTGCAAAAGAGGACAACAGGGTCCCCAACTCCCGGAGGTCCCTAACATGGCAACGTGCGCAAAACAGGCGAGAGGCCTTCCCAAAAAGTCAAAGCACAAACAAAAGAGGGACATTAGGGGTCCCCGAGGGCAGGCAAACACACACCTGGGAGTGTGTGTCCCAAACACGCAATCCTTAACTCCCAAAAAAGGGTTATTCGTTTAAAAGCGTAAAAAAATATGGTATGGGGCCAACCTCGTCCCCAGTGCTTACTTTATTTCCAACCGCGTTTCCAATAGTAAACCCTGGATAGGAAACTTCCTTCCTGTATCCTGATTGGATACCGCAGTTGGCTAGTAATGGATTTTTATCGTGTACTTGGTGCTATATATTCACAACGTGCAGTACGTGTTTTCGCGATCATTCGTCCACGCCTTCTCGAAAATACTAATTTCCTTTCCAATTTGCTCATATTAATATGAAATATGATACTGCATGTTGTCTCGATAGATCGTAACAGTTTGATTTTAAAAATCGTGTTTTCGTAACTCACGCCATGCTCGCGCTGCTACGAATTGACTCTGTTTTTTTTTACCCCAGACACCCCATACAAAAACAAACGCTAATGTGTAACGCATATCCAGGCACCAGACTGTTCCTCATTTGCATACGTGTGCAAAAATCTTGCACATGCAAATGATCCAATGCCAGGGTGAGAGAGCAGGAAGTGATGGGCGCGTACTGCTCGACACCCTGGGGACGAGGTTGGGTATGGGGCTTCTCTGAAATCATGACGTACTAGCACTGGTAAGGAAGAAAATGTGTTTGCATAAGGCAATGGGACATTGTTCTCGTGTTTTGCAAGAGTCCGACAGCAAATTTGGTACAATTGTTTTTCCTTCTGTCTTCTAGCGAGTCAATATTAACGACCTTGAGCGCATAGCTGTAAGAGGTGTACTAATTGCCAGTATGACCCTACACACCCTTTTTTGTATAATTTCAATGTCGCTGACATGTTTACGTGTAAGACTTGAGACAACGTTACAGTACTCTAGAACTGGAAGGAATAACCCATATAAACTGCTTTCAGTTCATCAACATTAAAACCGAATCTTTTCAATGTTCTCAGCATGAACAGTTTCCTATTGGCCTTAACAAGAATGTTGTTCACATGGGTGTTCCATTTTAAGTCATTTTGCAACCAGATACCCAGAACCTTAGCAGAACTATAACGCAGTGAATCAGTACCAATTTTCAGAATATTTAACGGCAGTGACGTTTTCTTGAAACACACTTGCAGAGCCGCATTTCGAAGGATTGAGCTTAAGACTGTTATTATCAACCCACACTTTAGTCATGAAAGTGTTTACCAATTTGCGCTACAATACCTTGGGCCTGTGAGTAACTAAAAGAGGGTATGTTTTCCTCAAACCCTTGTGGCAGGAAAAAGTATTCTCCTTTTTATCACTCACAGTTCCTCTGGTGCACATATGTACGCTTGTTACTATATCGCCAGTCAGTATAATTTACTTACATTACTAGACAGTGGCGTACGCAGGATTTTTTCAAGGGGGGTGTTTCAAAATTGGATGTCACCATTTATGACGCTAGAAATGAAGATGGTGAATTGTGTTGGCTCCAGACTAAAAGATAGTATCAGTGGGCTAAACTTAACGCTAAAATAAAAGTCGGGAGTTTGTGTTGGCGCCAAACATAGTAAATCGAAAAAAAAAACATGTTCTGTGTCTTAAGAGTAGGCCTATATGATGAACATATGAGTAAAGGGGTCAATGTGGGCAGTCCCCTCCCTCAACAGCATTTAAAAAAAAAAAAAAAAAATTCAAGAAAAAAAGTGACACGGGCTACGGAAGTGCTAGGATCTGTTCTTGTAATTGGCTAAAATTACTCAGCTTCGTCCCCTGGATCTCATGATTCTCATCCGTTGGGAATCTATCTAATCTTTGTGTAAACCGCCCCCCACCCGGCCCCTAAGGCCAAACTCCAAATACAGGATACAAATGCGCTCTGGTCACAGGGGCGGATTCAGACTGCCATGTGCCGGGGGGGGGGGGCCTAGAATTGTTAAATGAAGGGTCCAGGACCTGCGAGCGCGCAGCGCGAAGCCCCTACGGCGTGGGGTCCGGGGCCCGCTTAAGGGCCCCGAAAAAATTTGGATTTTAGATGCTCTGTGGTGCAATGTGAGGCGATTCCTGGCCACTTCCACCGTTTAGAAAACGTTGTAAACATTGAAAATTCCATTTAAAGGGAATATACATCATTTGCTTTTACTGTAATTTTCAGAAATGGATGGAATTGGGGGGTTGGAAATATATAGCAAAAATAGTTACACTGACTTTTTTGAGGTTTTGGGTTCGAAAATGCTATAAAAACCAAGAAAAACAATCATTTTCCTGTAGTCTGGTTCCCTGACTCCATATAAGAAGAAACAGAGCAGTTTACATACATTGGGGAATTGTAAGATCAGGGAACCAGTCTAGCTGGCTCGTACCCGTTCATAGGTTTGTAATCGATTGCAAACAAGTGCGATGGTCAATTGGGGCCAGTATTTGAAAAAAAGCCAGTTTTTTTCCAACGCTGATCGGCCGATCAGCGTTGGAAATTGATACAAAAATACCACTTTTCTTTAAAATGACAGTATACCAGGTGCCATGATTTTACAGGATGCTTTACACTGTCATTCACTAACAGTCCAGCAAGGTATTTCAAAATGATTTGGTAGTTTTATTTTTTGATGTTTGCAAATGTCGTATTTTCCCTTTAAATTTGTTATTTTTTTGGTTCTTCATGAAGTTTGTTATGTACTCAAAGTTGAGAACCATGTTCCATCTCCGTATTTTTTCACAATATTCTATTTTGGAAAGGGATTTAGGCCACTTGTAGTCCGAGCCTCAGCCATTCGCTGATGAAGGTACAAATAAGGTGGGGCACCGCTAGGGTGAAATTAGCATAGAGGGAATTTGGCCGGAGGACTAATGCGAGCGCGGAGCGCAAAGCACTTACGGCGTGGGGTCCGGGGCCCGCTTAAGGGCCCCGGGAAATTTTGGATCGTAGATGCTCTGTGGTGCAATCTGAGGCGTTTCCTGGCCACTTTTCCCCTGATTTTTTTTTAGCAGAAGTATTTAAAATTGAGGGGATATTTTGTTTCAATTGTTTCAAATACATATAGGCCTATATGTTCTTGCTCTTATGAAGTTTCTTCTGTATTCAAAGCTTAAAGTTGAGAACATGCACATAATTTGTAATTGTTCCACGCTCGGTCACATAACTCTCTTTTCCCTCCATATTTTTACATGGCAAGGGCCGGGTTTAGCAGCCAAAACACCCCCCCTGCGTACGCGCCTGTTACAAGATGTGGACAGTCCTGACCTTAACTGCCCATCTGCCTCGACTGTCTATGCTGAGAGAGGGTCCACTGCAGCCCAAGTCAACTTCCAGGTCACCGCTTCAGATAATAGTGGCCAGCAGCCTACAGTGACCTGTGACCCCGAGTCAGGACAATTTGACCTGGGTCAATATTTGGTCTCGTGCATCGCCTCAGATCCAGCTGGTAACGCAGCGACTTGTTCCTTCCAAATTGAAATTGTGGGTGAGTTATTCTATAGTTGTTTCCTTTTTTTGTAACATTTTTGTAGATTCATGGGTAGTAGAACCAAAATACTAGGCCCAGGTTTATCAACTTCACTGTAGTACAGTACATGCACTCACTATTCATTGTTCTAAGTTCTTTACTAGAAGAATTGCACTAATTCACACTCTGCACCTGAACAAAGGTGAAGAGAGCATATTGTTGGAAATGTTAATATATGTTTTATCATTGAACAGAGCGCACTTGCACAGCCCTGCCCATCCCAGCATATGGGGATTACATAGGGGACTGTTGCCACGTCTATGGCTGTGTGTGTAGCCTGAAGTGCATCAATGGCTACCAATTGATCGGGTCCAGGCAAGCCTCCTGTGAGTTCAATGGCACCTCTACATACTGGCAACAAGATGACACACCACACTGTCAGTGTAAGTTAGAAAATTCTTATTTACTCACAAGAATCTGACATTGATAAATGCATTCAATAAAAACGTTGCTTGAGTTTACACACTTTGAAGTTTATTGTATGACAGCATACAATCATTTCAAACTCAGGTACTCACTCAACAAGAAAACAAAAGAGATGATCAGTGCTCAAGTGCCATAGCAGCTCTGTGTTCACACTTTCTAACATCGGTTTTGCTTGTTCCTATACCGGTAGCTAAAAGGCTGTTGTTTTACATGTATGTAGCTCTTGGCCTATGTGTAAATCGTTGTTTGACAATGTCTGACATGCTAACATCCAAACAGACAAAAATCACAAAAGGCAAATGTGAAAACAAAATAGAAAAAGCATAAATAACCTCTGAATAGATAAGAGATTTGATGAGTTACCACCAGATCATATTTCATGCAGATTTGAGTGAAGCAAATTTGTTAGGGTGATGGTGTGTCATTATTCATAGTAACAGGACAGGATAGGTGTCAATGTAACAGGGACAGGAAAAAAAATGGGAACCCATATATGAAATATCCAATGTTGATAACTCTAATTCATACTGAACTTTGACCTGTGAACTGACTCGCCATTAACAAATAACCGCTATTGACTGTTTGTTACAATTCTATTTTCAGTGATCACATGTGAGGCCCTGTCACTCCCCGATGCCGTACAGGTCACTCCATCCATATGTACTGCTGGTAGACCGTTAGCTGGTACCCTGTGCTTTTTCTTTTGCCCACGTGGACTCAGTCTGGTTGGGAGCGTGTCTCAGGTGTCCTGTGGAGGGGAAGGACTCTGGGACGTGGAGGCTGGAAACTTGCCCACAGATTGCGAAGGTTTGGGAGACCATCTATCATATTCTAGATAAAGATGTGACATTTACACGTTAAAATGTTTAAATGAAAAAAAATTCCAAATCCAAATTTTCCAAAACATTAAAAACGTAACCCAAATTGTAAAAAAGGGACCTAAATTTACCGTTGAATCCAGTCTTCCTTTGAGATAAACATACATAGAACAAACGATTTACAGTGTTTTCATACCTATTTAATTTACTAAACTGAGCACTTCAATGCTTGATTAAATTTGGGGCACACGTATATACCTAGTTAAGTTGTTACTTTTTCAATGACTGCCATTGTTGATTTACAGATATCATGTCAATCACACCGGTCAGCTGACTATCACAGCCTTTGTGAATGGCTAAACGTTTAAACAGTTCTTAAAATATTTGCCAAACGTTTATAAGTCACATCCCTAATTCTAGAGAAAGAAATCAGGATTGTGAACCCAATGCATGTGGAGTTAACAGTCATTTAATTGTGTATTGTACTCGATCCAAATATCCATAAGGGTTTATGTACAATAATTAGGAACTATTGCTGATGTGGTACTGAATTATGCAGGTGGTTCACATACTCTATGCTCTTTCAAACAATGAGGTTGCAAAAGTGTACTTGTGCCTCAAATTTAAGAACATGTGCAACAGACATATACAAGTGTGGTGCCACCTCAGTAATGTCTTCTATGAGTATGGTTTCCAGTGAGCCTATTAAACTACCATTTATATGTAAGACAATAAGCTGATATTTACTTGTGTCTGGACTTGATAAAGCTGCTCAGAGGAAGTATAGCTTGGCAACTTGTGAGCAAAGAGTAGCCAGCAACATGTCCCAGGCAGTATACATGACCCGCCCTCTTGGCTTGTAACCCAAATTTTTTTGCGGAGACAAATAATTTCTTACAAATTACCTTTTTTTCAAAAACAGATCGCATTCCCCCTGTGCTCACTTTCTGCCCTGGACCCATCTACGCCACCCGAGGAGGTGAGGCTGGAGTCTCGGTGACCTTTGACATCCCAACAGCCCGGGATAATAACCTGTCTGGTACCCTGACTCTGGAGACCTCACCCTCCGGCATCACCTCACCACACTCATTCAGTGAGTCCACTGAGGTGTCTTACACATTCACAGATGAGGGTGGTAACTCCGTCACGTGTACCTTCAGAGTTTACGTCTTAGGTGAGTGCTTGGAACAAGTACAGTATGAAAATGTTGGATTTCAAGATATGTCCTGAGAAGCTCTAATTGGCCCCCACCCCTCCAAAAAATGCTCACAACAGCAACTTAATTTCGGGGAATGTTGAGGAAACCTTAGTGATCAAAGCTTACATATTTAACACACACACTGGGTTTTTTTACACAGCACAAACTTTTGCACAATATAGATACCTTTAGTTTTGGGTAGAATGAGAGATTAGTATTCAGGAGGTCCCAGGTTCACATTTGGCTCCTGTCATTCTTTATTCTCAGTTTGACCATGTTAGACTATAAAGGCTTGTTGACGCTTGATGTGAGCAAAAGCCAATTTGTGACGTCATGGCAAGTATTCCCAGTGTTGATTCTCAAAAGCAACACATTTTAACTCCAGCCAATACATAATATAGATGATCTTGAGCCTGAAGTCATCTACTGCCCAGACGACTATGCCATCACAGCCCGGGACATACTCACCCAGGTGACCTGGGATGAGCCCATTTTCCGTGACCCCTTAGGTCATGACCTTGTGGTTAGCAACAATGTGGCAGAGGGGCATACAGCCATCTTACCGTGGGGGCGACACACAGTGGTGTACACCACTATCAATACAGACAATGGACAGAAAGCTGCATGCCAGTTTGCTATTGATATAACACGTGAGCAACAATTGTGAATGATGGTTTGAGTTATGTGCTTTGGGCACATTTAAGTGACTGGCATTGATCAGTAAGACTTGTTTATTTTGCGTAACACTGAGTAATACCAAGTAACAGATATTAAGCAATTCATTTAGGACTAACTGTTACAGATAAAAGATGCGTTCCCTGTGCTATTTCCAAATTTCACCTCGAAAGTTTTTTCACTTGCTATTTTCCTAGCAATGTAAAAGTTTGTCCCTTTTTGTATGAGACATTGAACGAAAAAAATGCACCGACATTTATAGTTATTGAATTATTTCTTCATAATATTTGAATTATTGGCTGCCAGACAATATTTTGGCTCTCGCAGGGCGGGTTCTTTTGTGCACAAAATTAAAGCCCTTTTTCAGAGGGTGGCAGACGCCCAAAGTCGGAATAAGGTTGTTTTTCCATTAAAATGAGACATGCTGTTGAGATAGCCAATGGAGGTGAAATAAAGGAGGCTTGTAAGACGGCGAGTGTGTGGACAGCACGGCAAGCATGGAAGCTTTATTCTAGAACTTATCTGGGGTCAACTCCCCGGCGCGCATGCGCATACCTAGATAAATGAATATGCATATCACTACATCCCCCCCTTTTTGAAATATATAAACAAAAATAAGGTAGTTTAATACTCAAGTTGTATTATCGTTCAGTCCTTTCACAGTCGACTATCTCCTGGTAAGGTAGATATGAGAAAGGTAGATAAAGAATGCGGAGATGTATAATAATGTTCAAACGTGGTTTCCTTATTTCTAGTAGTCAAAACCTGTCTATTTTACATTGTATTGTGACTGTCCACTTAGACAACAAGAAAACTATAAACTTCTTTTTTTTTTTTTTTTTTTTTGAAAACAACAACACTTGAAACACTTGTTATAAACACTAACTCTATGAAACCCTTGTTTGAGTCTGTTAACTTTCAACACTGGAGTAACTAAGAACTTGGTTTTAGAGGTATCTGGCTGGCATTTTGGTTACACGACCAGATCTTGTAGTCTGTGGGGTTTGGAGAAAGGTACCGGTAGCCTTAGGTTTAGCTTTGGTTTGGCGAGATTTGTCCCCGTCAGTGGGTTTTCCATCCCGCTGTGCTTCTCTGTTTTGCTTGTTCTGGTCAGAACCTTGTCTCGGTGGGAATAGAACTCGCGGGGATTGTTCATCAAAGTGAACGCGCTTAGCTTGCTTTGCCTGCCTGTGCGCCTCGCGCGGCTGAGGTTGCATTTCACGCAAATGTGATCGATTGCGCCTGAGAGTAGATCCATTTGGTGTTCTGACCTCATACGACCTAGGCTCTTTGCAAACTTTGGTTACTTCACCCGGAGTCCAAGACTTGTTCGGCTGGTCAAGAATACGGACTTTCTGTCCCACGTAGAGTGAAGGTAAGTCTGGGCCAGCATGTTTGTCATGATTGGCCTTCATTTCATCTCTGCATGATGCCAGTCGGTCATTGACTTCCAGAGGTTTCTGGTAAGTCCCTGTAGGGTCCCTGCTGGGCAGTGTGGTGTGGGGCGGCCTTCCAAACAGTATTTCTGATGGAGAAGGTAAGTGAGCGTCGATTGGTGTTGCTCGGAGAAGAAGCATTGCCTTGTTGATGTCCTGTCCAGTTTCATGACACTTCTTCATCACGGACTTGACTGTCCTGACCGTTCGCTCTGCCATCCCATTCGATCGGGGGTACCTCGGTGATGAGGTAACATGGGTGACCGACCATTCCTCACACATATCTTGGTAAGTCTGCCCAACAAATTGTGGTCCGTTGTCGGAGACTATCTCCTTTGGTACACCGAAAAGGCTGAAGGTTGCTGCTGTTCGTTGAGCCACCGACGCACTGGATGGTTTGGACAGTTTGTGGATAACAGGGTATTTAGAGTGATAGTCCACAATGAGGAGATAGTTGTCTTTTCCCAACTCGAAGAGGTCTGTGCCCAGTTTCGTCCAAGGTGTGTTGGGTATCTCGTGAGGTTGGAGTGGTTCATTTCTTTGACGAGTCTGGTGTTCCTGGCATGCTTGACATGACTTGACGAGTTGAGTGATATTGTCATTAATGTTCGGCCAGTACACAGAATTACGGGCTAATCGTCTCGTCTTTTCGATGCCAAGATGACCAACGTGGAGTTGGGTGAGTATGTCCTGTCGCATAGCCTCAGGAATCAGAACTTGACGGCCCTTGAATATCACACCGCAGGACAGTCCCAGCTCATCTCTGAATGACCAGTATGGACGTAAGTCACAAGGCAAATCCTTGATTGAGTCAGGCCAACCGGTGTAGATGACCTTCTGTAGCTCTCTGAGAACAGGGTCTCGAGTTGTCTCGTGCTGAAGAGCATCTTGCTTAGCCTTCCCAAAGTGAACCAAATCAAGTTGTTGAGTGGTTGTGTGCTGCCTCGCACTAAGGGAATCAACTGCAATGTCGAGGGGTATGTCATCATGATCAGACGGATTGGGGAGCCTGCTCAGGGCATCAGCAATTATCATGGTGCTGCCTGGTTTGTACTCCAAACTGAATTGATAGCCTTGAATCTTGATCAACAGCCTCTGTAGACGGGGTGGAGCACTGGTGAGGGGCTTCTTCCATATGGTCACTAGTGGTTTGTGGTCTGTGAGTACATGGAATCTGGAACCGAAAAGGTAAGTATGAAACTTGGTCACACCAAACACCAGGGCAAGAGTTTCCCGTTCAATGTTGGAGTAGTTTGACTGGGATGACGACAGACTTTTCGATGCATACGCAACAGGTTTGCCGTCTTGGATGAGGCACGCACCAAGGCCTTTTTGTGAAGCGTCAACCTCGAGGGTGGTTTCCATCTTGGGATCATAATACCGCAGACATGACTCGGCAGTGATGGAGTGCTGGAGTGCACGAAACGATGCCTGATGATCGTCCTGCCAGAGGAATGGAACATCCTTCCGGAGGAGGTCCCGCAAGGGGGCAGCCGTGTCTGCGCAGTTTGGAATGTGTGGAGACACAAAGTTGACGATCCCGAGGAATCTCTGAAGATCCTCTTTGTCTTGGGGAGTCGGCATGGCATGTATGTCTGCAACTCTGTCAGGATCAGGGCGAACTCCACTGTCCGAGTAGATGGAACCGAAGAATTTTATCTGGTTCGACTTGATACGACACTTGGCACTGTTGAAGACAAGCCCTTCTCGCTTGGCAGTCTCCATGAGGTTGAAGAGGTTGGCATCATGCTCACTCTCTGTACGCCCAAATACTGCAATGTCATCTGCAATACATACGCAGCCTGGTACCTGGCTGACAATGTTGTCCATACATTGTTGAAAAATGTCCTGGCTCACTGACAAACCAAACGGGAGTCGGCAAAAACAATACCGGCCAAATGGTGTCCGAAACGTTGTCAATTCCTGGGATGCATCATCTAAGTGGATCGACCAGTAACCCGCCTTCGCATCAAGTTTGGAAAAGAACTTCGCTTGCGAAAACGCAGGATTTAACTCCTCAAGCGTTGGAACCTTGTGAGGACATCGCTTCAAGTTGTCGTTAAGGCGTTTTGGATCTAGGCAAAGTCGGAGCGAACCGTCTTTCTTGACACTTGTCGTGAGGGAGCTACACCAATCAGTGTGGTGAGTGACTCTGCGGATGACGCCATCGTGCTCCATCTTGTCTATTTCCACCTGGAGTTTTGGCTTGAGATGCACGCTGCATTTCCGAGGTGGATCGATACTGGGTTGAGCATCTGTCTTGAGATGAAGATGGGCACGTGTCTTGACGTTGCCTAGGCTGTCAAATTGCGTAGGGTACGCCTGCTTCAGATCTTGTACTCCTTTTACAGGGGTGGCAAATCCGACAGGTGGTATGGCTGGTGGGGCTGGTCGAGGTCGTGATGTTGGTAGTCCGCTGGGTGAAGAAGATACGGTGTGTATCGTCACCAGCTGGAGCTTCTGGCTCATGGGTAGGCCAGCCACAGCAGGACCTGGTACATCTACGACGTAGAATTTTTCACGAGACCACTCACTCTCCTTGTATCTGCACATAAGATGCAGATAGCCATAGCATGTGATGTTTGACCCGTTATATGCGGTCAGTCTTGTGCCAGTGGGGGAGGCGAGCGATTTCCAACGGTCTCCGTATATCTGCTTCATGGTGCGAACTGGTAGGGTGTTAGCGCTCGCACCGGTGTCCACTTTGACCTTCAAGTGGTGCTTGCCAAGTCGATCTGGGCAGACAACATCAAGTGTTGTGAAGACTTCGGTATGTCTGTACTGATGTAACGGAGTGACGCACATATCAGACACGGTGATAGAGTTGAATGTGTCCCCAGCTTGGCTTGCGACGTCATCGTCGTCGGTGAAGAAGTCATGTTGCCCCTGTTGGTCATTCTTGAGGTCGTTCACCTTGGAAGTACCCCGGCTCGGCGATCTATTGCGAGAGCTGCGCGGTTTTGAGTTGCTACGCGATTTTGAGTTGTTACGCGATTGTTGGCGGCGCCAGTTTGGCGATTTGCTGCGCTGTCGGCCTTGCCCAGTTCGCTTCGATTTTCTGCAAAGCTTGGCCCAGTGACCTTTGCTACCGCAGGCTTTGCACGTGTCATGGTATGCAGGACAGCTGCGGGGTTTGTGCGAAAAACCACAATTTTTGCAAGAGCGGCGTCCGCGTGCAGAATAGACAGTGTCTACAGATGCTGGTTCGTTCGCGGCTTTGCGTGCTGCAGTATCTGTAAGCGCTTCTAAATGTTGCTTGCCCGCTGCAACGGCTTCGTGCCTGCGTCCCTCTTCAAGCATCGCTGCAATTGGGTAGCCACGTGCTTTCTTGAGAAGGCTATTGCGTAACGCGTCTAAGGGAGTCGAGGCTATGACCAGTTCTACTACGCGTTCGTCTAGTTCTGCTTGCGCAAAATCACAATTCATCGCTTTTTCTCTACACCTGTTAACAAAATCGTCTAAGGTTTCATCGACTTTTTGTTTGTATCTCATTAACTCAAGCCTATGGATGCGGAAATTTACACTGATTTGCAACTGCTTCTCAAATAAAGCCCATAGCTTTTCTGGCTCTTCTTGATCTGCTTCGGACAAGCCAGATGCATTGAGGCGCTTAAGGCCCTCAGTGCCTACAGCTATTTTGATTTTCACCGCCTGTTTGTCGGCTTGATTTACTTCATGATCCTTCAGGCATAACGTAAATCTCTGTTTGAATAGCTTGAACTCCTCGGCAACATTCTTAACTGACCAATTCATTTCTGGATATTTAGCCATGGTTGAGTGCACAATGACAATGTAATATAATAATATGATAAACAACAATTGTGCGAAACCTTCTGTGCTAAAACTTGGGTTAAATACCACTGAGATGGCTAAACATGTAAGAACAAGAATACATGGGAGCAACAATACACTGATTTGAATTGTCAATAACCAAACTCATACATGTAAACAATAGCAATGAACACTGGTCAATTAGGCTTTAAAAGTCTCAGTTCTGATGAGATGAAGTGGCTGAACAGTTCTTGTACGTCTTGCCTGTTACACTGTCTGTGATCGTCAGGGTAGTAGTCAGGTAGTAGGGCAGATGAAGTCGTCTGGCAAGATGCTGGAGGTCCCAGATTGGAGATGCACTGGGATTGTGAACAGGTCGGGCAGATACAGTTACTGGAAAACGACGAGCTGAATTTCTCACGAATTGGATGCAGCGCAACTGGATGGGCGCTGATCGTGATCGTGTCGGTCGGCAAACTGGACGCACGGCAGAATTTGCAAAATTAGCCGATGATGAGGTCCAGGTTTCTGCTGCTTTTCATCCCATCTTGTCCCTTGAAACAGTCGGGACCGTCGCCGCTGGATGCTGTAAAGCCGGTCGGTAGATGACCAGTCTCTGGTAGAGCTCGATGGAGCCGTGGGGAATACAGCGATTATGGCGAACTCCAGAGTGCAGTGATGGGGCGAGCACGGTATAGGCGCTCACACTGTACGGTGAAACGTGTTGAATGTGCAGTGGGTATAGCACACGCACGTGAATTGTCGCGGCATGACCTCAGACAAATCTGGGTCGGTTGCACGTTTTCACACCACAATAAGCGGGAATCGGGAGGTCCAGATGCCCGAAAGTTGCCTCACTCGATGGTCAGATCATCACAGATGTCTATCTGGTTCTTTTTCACCGCTGCCACCATGTTGAGATAGCCAATGGAGGTGAAATAAAGGAGGCTTGTAAGACGGCGAGTGTGTGGATGGACAGCACGGCAAGCATGGAAGCTTTATTCTAGAACTTATCTGGGGTCAACTCCCCGGCGCGCATGCGCATACCTAGATACATGAATATGCATATCACTACACATGCAAGTTGATTTTTTTTTTAAGAAGATGAGGTATGAACTTTAAGTGATACTGAGTGTAATCATGGGCATCGCCAGGATTTTTTCCGGGGTGGGGGGGGGGGGGGGGGGGGGGAGCAAAGCAATTTTTTCCCCAAATATCCTTAACTTTTTCATTATATTCTCAATTTATCATTTTTCCGAATGTGAGCTGGGGAGCATTTGCCCTACCCCCCCCCCCCCATCAAAGTAACAGCAATATGGCTTCGCACCTCTTTTCCCCTTTTTTTTTTCATTTTCCAGGCCCCCCTTTGCCCCCCCCTCGCGACACCCATGAGTGAAGTTGTAAGTGTAAAAGAGTAAAACTTTGAAAATTAAAAGCAGTGTATTTCAATACTGAGTGTAACACATAAATGATTAAAAGATTTTTTTTTTCCTATTTTTTTTTTTTTCTTTAAATTGTTCTATCCCAAATCCCATACACTTTGTACATGTTTAGTTCCTCGCGGCATTTTGGACCTAAAACAATCTCATATTTTAATGAAACTTGTCCCATGTAAAGACCCCATACATGTAGTGCCATTGTGTACCAAAGTGATGTCACGATGACGTTATCATGGGTCACGTGACGTCATCTTCAATATGCAAACTTTAACACCCTATATCTAGAGAACTGTATAGAGCTCGGCTCTATAACATCTAAAAGCGACCGTCATGCATGGGGGGTTCACATTACCATTCAATCAGGTCTGGTTTTTATGTTACTACATGCATCGTGCAATTGGGACAACTGAATTATACAAGTTGATTCAAGACATCATGAACAGTTGATAGGAATAACTTCTACTCAACCAAGGTGTAAGCTTAGTCAGATTTCAAAGAAGTTTCTCATTTATATGTAGATGAGCCAGCTTCTAGCCCTATTGGTGAGGCCTTTCCAGGAGGCACACACACCTACTCAGATGAGCAAGACTTGAGTGGAATACTGAAACTCACCAAAACCAAACTGTAATTGGATCTCCCGCAGACTGGACAGACAATATTCCTGGAAATTCAACATTGCTCAAGTATCGTTTAGTGCAAAACGCATATACTGCATGTCTAAGCTTTATCCATCTATACTTAGGTAGCTGTGGCTTTATTTTGCAACACTGTTAGACATTTTATAGTCTTTGCCAGTCCAATGAATATTTACAGTCAACATAGAATCGTTGCAGTATAGCTGTCATTGGGACAAGCAGATAATTATGCAAATTAAAACATATTTGGAAATCTGAAGAGGACGTTCATTATATTTTATGATTTAATAAGAGATGGCACTGAGAAACCTGACAAGTACAGTCAAGTACAGTAGGTGATGAAGGACACACTTTGCACTGTTGATCTTTTATATGATCTACACAAGGCAAGAAATTGCTTAATGGTCATTCTGTGTCTGCGCTACTTGTCAGTTTTGTACCATTGAAGGAGTGCTTGTGTACAGGGTCCAGAGCCAATTGTTTGTTTGTTGCTAGATTAGTTCTGTAAAGGATCAAGTAGTAGTACATGTCATATTAATTGCAGTAAAATTGATTGCTGTTGTACACATATTAAATTTTGTATTATTCAGAATGACTTGCAGTGTCAGCCAATTCGTCAAGGATAGATTATGTTCAATTTTTATTAGATACTTTTTATTTGAATATGTAGTTGTAGTCGACTGCTAAAATAGCTGCCTTTTCACTGTAAAACTTTTGCCTTAAAAAACGTTTGCCTTCAAAATGTTCTTGTGTATGTTTCAATATTTTTTTAGAAATAAGATACAATTAGTTTTGTGTACATTTGTATGCAACCTTTTAGTAATTCTTATGATCTAGACTGCCTTATACATTATTGTGCGATTTTTGTTGTACAGGGTGCCCCCCCCTTTTTTTTTTTACATCTTTAAAAAAAAATCTTCACAAATCTTGACATTTGACAAGTTTATTTCATTAGCTTTTCAACACCGAAAAAATCCATCTAAATTTGAGAAATATTTATTGAGTTATGGCCAATTCAAAACCATGCTTTTTATTTTGTCCATGGTCTCAATTGTCACTTATTAGGAATGTAATGGATTTGGGTTGAGGGTAGTTTTACTTCTTTTTTAAACATTTTATAATCTTTATTTGTTAAAATGATTTTTTAAAATCTTTTGCAACAATGGTCAATTCTCTTTTTGGAAAAAGGACTATTTTGTTCAACATCTTAGATGTTTACTTTCTGCTCTGCCCTCTACTAATCGATGCCTCTTTCACGGAAGCAAGTTTTGGCCGTTATTGTGGCAGTTAAGCAATAGTCACAAAAAAAACAGATAAAAGTACAAGATTTGACAATCACATAAGAACTGAGGTAAAGGAAACAATAATGGCGATGATCAAAAGTGATGTAATAGAACACAGGAAAAGAATTAGAATGTGAACTGGACGAATTGGGAAAACCTGTGGACACAGAGGTCTAGCCAGCATTGGTAGGGAGGTATTTGCACACTATTGTGCGATAGTGTGCATGATTGTCGAATTTGAACAGCGCCCCCATTGGAATATGTACCAGGCCCCTCCCCCCCCCCCCCCCCCCAACTTTGTGATTTTACGGAGGCCAAGTTTTTTTGGGGAAAAACCTGTCTTCATTTCGACACTGATTTGCTGAATAAAAAAATTCTGCCGGGCCTGACCCCCCCCCCCCCCCTTCTCGCAAAATTCCTAGATCCGCCCCTGTAATAATATGGATTTATTTCGATTTGAGTTTCAATTCTTTATTATCCAGTAAAGGAAATATCCTACGAGGCACAGCACCTCCATTTAATTAACCTAGCCAGCTTTACCATGTAATTAGATTTTGCCTCTTAAACATGTACCCAGATATTGCCACCTATGCATAAAATTATATACACAGTTTTATATCCGCAATAAATGAAGCATATCTCGGAGTTGACGTTTTTGTGGATAATTTCCCCTCGCATGTAGTTTTGTAGTTTGAAGCATTTAAATTAGCATGTACGGTTTTCATTTTTTAAAACCACATTCAATTTTGAAGACGTTTAAAACCTTGAATGTCCTTGCACAATAGAAATGACTTTTTGCCATGTTCTAATATTTTGAGCTTTTAATTGCCTGTCAATTTGTCTTCAAGAACAATAGAGGACATCTTTAACTATTTCCGCTCTCCGTAAACACGTGATTCGTCCCTAATCAAATTTCGCGCCAGATAATGGGTGATGATGTAGCCCTAACCATTTTTCTTGGATTTGTTCTTAATTTGGAAATTCTAATGTAAATCAGTGCTATCAATGATCAACAATTTAAAAAACTTTTTTGATTAATAACAAAAACGAAACCCGCCGAAAGTGGGAATAAACACATATTCAACATACTGGTTCAATAGGCTGGCTGCTAGCTTGTTAAAACCGAGAAATATCGCGCCCGGCATATCAATAGTGCGCAAGCTATACTGAACACCCCCGGGATATAGTGTGACGTCCCACAACTGCTGGATGGAGCAAGCCAGCGCCGGCGCCGCAGACTAGTGCCGCAGTATTTTCTTTGGTAGTCATTTCTTCACAAGTCGCCAGCAGGAGCGGATCTTGAAGTCATTCAGTGGCCGTATTTGAAGACAGTTCGGGAAGGTAGGTGGAGTGTATAATTTGCGTGCAGTGATGAATTTATAAGTTTTACCATGGTTTTACGAAATCCAGAACGGTAGTAGAACTAAGCTAATCAATCATTCAACTGAAGCGACGACTCGTTATCGACTGTTACCGTTGGCGAAGACGTGACAATTGTCCCGTACGCCAGCATTAAATGCGTCAGCAACCTATGGAAAATCGGAGTGTTTTTTCTCTCTTTTTGCAATTACAATTTGGAAAGATTCCCACATCTGGCTATCACTAATTTTTTCCCTTCAGTGACCTATCAGCCATCAGAAGTAAATGATAATTTGTCCTAAAAAGTAAATTTAGCAGGGAAGAAAATGAAGTATTTACTGAGAAACCACTCGGAAATGTTCAGACCAGTTCTCATAGTCATACGGTTTGTGCACAGGGTGACAAGTGATGGCCAATAACTTAGCCTTGGTCAATGCTCTCGTCGTTATTCGTCCCGTAGGCGGTCAATCGTCGGCACATGTCCTCACGCTACAGCGCGAACAGCGACCTCACGCGGCCACTATTTATATGCAAATCAGTTGGGGACGATCGAGAGCCTTGGTTCAATCGTCCATGTGAGGTTTTGGGGGTGGTGCTCATTATGTTAATAGCCTTAGCTGACCTTAAATGTCGTTTTCTTATTGGTCGATCGTTGCGTGGAAATTTGCATAGTGAAACGTGGCACCGTACAATCCATACATGTACACGTTGTGTGTCTCTGCACACGGCACCAATGCACAAAAACTGTGGTTCCTGTCACGTCCGCAAAAGGCGAATAGCTGCAAATAATTTGATGACGTCCGGATTTACCAAGGTGTGATTGGACATTCCACATATTAGCCCCTCCTACACTTATCTGTATTCGCATACGAGGTCGTGCGCTAGAAATCCAGCGCAAAAGCTTTTGCCGACGATTGAACCAAGGCTCTCGATCATCCCCAACTGATTTGCATAAAAAAATAGTGGCCGCATGAGGTCGCTGTTCGCGCTGTATTTTTACATGCATGTGCATAGAGCGTGAGGATATATGCCGATGATTGACCGCGTACGGGACGAATAACGACGAGAGCATTGACCAAGGCTACCAATTACTAGAATCTTTCCTCCTGAACATTTGTGAATCTTATTTCCAGTCAAATAGTGAAATATTTCCTTTAGGAAAATCATTTTGCTTAAAATGTATACATTTCTTGACTGTCATTCAGAATATGAGGCGTCTGGGAAATGCATGTTGAGAAAGATTTATGGGATACTAAATTCTGATAAGATATTTAAGAGCTTATTCCATTTCTGTTTAGATTTACCAAAATAGTTTGTTTTTCTTAACCTTTCAGAAAAATAGCAGCCGGCCTAATCATGAGGTCGTTGTGGTTTTTCGGTTTTGTTGCATCTTTATGCATATTCCAGGTGAGTTTGAGATTGCAGTTTAACAAAGTTTTTTTTTCCCAGTATAATTCATTGGTACATGTAACCTATTTAATTTAATTGTTGTCAGTTGTTGATGTACATTAGATTTGATACCATGACCATTTCAGTGTATTTTTAAACAAAATTTGAAATGCTTAGTCTTAAATTTATGAATGATGTATTTCTGCAAAGACTGTCCAGTGATAGTCACAAACTTAATTTTTATTTTGTAACAATTTTAAAGTATGAAAGGATGATTCTGCATTCTTTGAAAGAATGCAGAATCATCCTTTCATACATTAAAATTGTTACAATGTATTTTTTTTTGGTCTCACTTTATTGTCATTGAGATTTGGAGTTTGGAGAAATACGAGCTGTCAATTTTCTGAGTTGTGTATCAGTATCCTATCTTTTGCATTGGGGTATATAATTGTATTTTCTTATGTTTTCTAAAACAGTGGCTCAATTAGTGTATCACAAATCAAGCATGTCAAATTATCAATGACTGAACTTCAGTCAGTTTAATCTTAAGTGACGTTTAAACACTAATTACATTGTGAGAAATGTATTCCTTCAACTATGAATAAAAACGGATTTAGCTATGTGTGCATTGAATGTTGTGCATGAATGATGCTAATACAAATGGAATTTTTACATTGATAACCCTGTGTCCCTACTGCGGTACCATACTATATGAGTTGACAGTGTTCCTATCATAAAGCCAGATAACTGATCTTCATGTTTGCTCTGACATGGTCCACGTTAAGCCATCCTCTTGATTTATATTTTTCCCTTTTTGTTGTTGAACAAACAATAGGTAGCTGGCCAGGATGAAGATAATTGGGACGATACAGGTAAGCACTAAGCTGCATTATGCAATAGCCACACAGCTATGTTTTAAGCCCTATGCCACAGCAGGATTTCCTAAGTTGATGGAGAATATTTGTTAGAGTTTGGTCATGGTAGACAGTGACTGAAAGCTTTGCCACAAAGTCTCCTACGAATCAGATGTCACACTGTGGATTACTGGATTATGGGATCCAATGATGTCACCACCACATGTTTCACATTCATCATCCAAAATCAGTTGATAACCAAATGAGAAAAAAACCCACTTTCCTAAATATCATGTAATAGTTTGGACTTTGGACCATACATATCCAGGGGAAGCAAGGTCATTTTGTGGGCTGGCAGCGACAGGGAGTATGATATATTCTTACAGCTAGAAAAAGTGCCAGTAATTCGTCTGTCCATAGTTTCTGGCATGGTGTTGTGGTTACCCCTGCAGAGTATCAAATAAACTTTGGGAATTCTTTCAAGTTTTATAGGAATAAATGTATCCCATGCTTCCAGTATATGCGCTGTGTATAGAGCAATCTGTATAATGCATGAGCTGTTGTATCATGCACAAAGAGGACAACTGAGGATCGACTGGCCATGTCCAGCATGAGTTATGTTGATTTGGGACAACACTCACATAAAGTCATATGCCATATTCAATTCAGTTCTGCAATTATCAATAACTTAAATGTACTAGCTAGTGACCAATAAAAACACTTCAGAAACTTCTCAAATGTAGGACTGTCAATCAAAATTAGTTCATGATAAAACGTTGTTTCTTCTGTTCAATTTGTGATTTTATAATACTGCTTATATCAGGTCTCTGTATTTCACTTTGAAATAGTTAGCTCCAAAAAGCGTCTATTGCTGATTAATTTATTATTACTGCTGGCATATTAATGTCTCTTTCTTACATTGGCAAATGAACTTGGAGATACATCGAGTCAAAAAAAAGTTTAGCTGAGATGAATACTCATTGCACATTATCAGAATTGCATCTATTCACTGATTAGATAATGGCTCCAAATTGGCCATTTGGGGCTGCTTGTAAATTTGCGTGTAATTGGTCATCTTACGGAGTGAGGAAAAGACTGCTGTGACCAGAGAGAAGAATGGATTATATTCAGTGGAGTAGTCAATTTGATAGCTAGGGTCTTTGCGAACCTTGCACCTCAGCTGTGGATCTGTTTATATACGCTTAGCCTTACTGAGATAATTTAGGTAAAAACATGTTGGCCTTCGTCACATCTATATATGTTTTTTCCTTGTTCAAGAACCTTCCTTTGAATTAATTCCACAAAGGGTGCATTTTTAAATATTATTGTATTATAAAAAACAGAGTCATCACAATGTCTGCACATTATCTATTCCGTGCATGTGCTGCTTTGTTCAGCCTGGCATCAGTCCTGATATGAAACAAAACAAAAGCAGTGTGCCAGTGGATTGGATGGGCCCGTGACATGCGTCACTAAAGACACTAATATGCTTGTTAACATTTCCTGATGGGAAATCGTTGTCTCTGTTTATTTTTTGTCTGAAAATGGACAAGGGTACTTTGTCATGAGTCCTAGGAAGGAAGAAAATGGGAACACATTCCCATTTACACATTAATTCCCATAAAACAGGCATTTGGAATATGGTTAAGTTTCCTGATGTTTTGCCAGGAGTCTTAAAAGTTAAATCTGCTATTTGGCCTTGGGTCCGGTCCCAGTTGGATTATGTCCTAGGCTTGACCTTAGATCGCACCCACTGGCCTAAAAGTCACAATGATTTAATACTTGGGTTGTTTGAAGGTCAGCAATGACCAGCTGTGATGTCATGGGGGCATACAGTGGCACCCCTAAGGGGTAATATCCTGTGACACTGTAGTGCCAGGGATGAAGGACTCAATAGTCATTCAATGCAAAGCTTGTAGCAGCAATACTTACCAGAGTACTATTCAATTTTAATTACCCCCACATGCATGCTAGCATAGGCAGTGCAGAAATTGAACCATCTATGATTTAGTCAGGTTTAGGAGACTCTGAGATCTTAAAGCATTGTTCAATTTACAGTTTTAAATGTTCAAACACAGTTGTTGATCCTGGTACATTATTTATGGCACTGTTCCAATTCATTTCATTTTGGGGACAGTGCTTTAATGAAGAGCCTGTGGACTTAATAACATATTACACAGGGCTGTACTTTCTGGTGCACTGTACTTTTAACCTATACGTAAATATCCAACAGTTTATTCCAAAACATTTGAAACATGAATGTATTATTACTCAAAACAGAAGTGTTAGACTTCATTGTTCATATCTACAGTATTGCAATGATATTATAAGTTGTCAAGACAATGGGAGCATATACATGTATACTATAGCTTGTCGACAGGCTGAACTTTAAAAAGAAAATAATCCAGAAAGTCAGGCCAAGATAGAAAGTGATTCACTGAAAAAAAATTGTGTTTTTTAGTAAAATGGTTGGAATTAAATCAGAGAGGTTGAAAAATGTACAAAAGTACAATTTATGGTATTTTATTGTGGGCATTAGCAGTTTTATATAGTGTCTGTAGCAAATCAGCCATCTTTTGTTGGACGAGTCAGGAAATAGAAACAGGAATCAAGGTGTCATTCTTTAAAAGAGGTTACACCCAACTGTCTAGCCATGTCTGTATAGCCATATTTGTTGCTGTATTTATAGCTCTCATTACTACCTGTGTAAAATCCCAGTCTAATATTTTCTCCTCCTTGTATATAAGAATGTGAGACCGGGGCCCCATCGTGACAGACATAGTCCAGACTTTGTAGACTGGATTGCCTGGCTGAGATTGCTATTATGTCATGGGTACATATCCGGCTAACTTCCTTGTTCCAAGTCTGATCTGGCTGTGCTTGCCCCTCGTGTACAAATTACTTTGAACTTCTGGAGGGTTGCGTTCACTACTGATGTTTGCTTGTTCTTGTAAATACTTATAAATATACAACCCAAAGCTTTTGATGAACACTTTTTGTAATGGAGATCATTAGCTAATTATCTTTTATTGGAGTATTTTTTTATTTTTTATATATTTTGCATGTTAGCTGTAAAAATGAGCATCTATTTATTTCTGAAAAAAACCCAACCAATTTTAAGTTAACAATGACACACAAAAACATGTCCAAGATGGTGCTTTGTTTTGGAGGTACATGTATGAGATTGCATAATCACGATCAAACTTTTGTAAAAAGAAAGGGAGTACAATTTTTTTTGTATGTCATTTATTGACCTTTGCTTTTCTAAACCATTAAAAGGACATCAAACAAAACTTTACTTTGATAAAAATAACAACATCCTGTCTGTAAAGATTTCTAGAGGAAGCTGATCTTTACAGTCCAAACAAAACAATTGCATGGACTTCCTCTGTTAAAGGGAATATACATCATTTGCTTTTGCTTGTAATTTTCAGAAATGGATGGAATCGGGGGGTTGGAAATATAAAGCAAATATAGTTACACTGACTTTTTGGAGGTTTTGGGTTCGAAAATGCTATAAAAACCAAGAAAAACGATCATTTTCCTGTAGTCTGGTTCCCTGACTCCATATAAGAAGAAACAGAGCAGTTTACATACATTGGGGAATTGTAAGGTCAGGGAACCAGTCTAGCTGGCTCGTACCCGTTCATAGGTTTGTAATCGATTGCAAACAAGTGCAATGGTCAATTGGGGCCAGTATTTGAAAAAAAGCCAGTTGTTTCCAACGCTGATCGGCTGATCAGCGTTGGAAATTGATACAAAAATACCACTTTTCTTGAAAATGACAGTATACCAGGTGCCATAATTTTACAGGATGCTTTAGACTGTCATTTACCAACATCCTATTAAGGTATTTCGCAAAAACTTGGTAGTTTTATTTTTCGATGTTTGCAAATGTTGTATATTCCCTTTAACCATTATACACAAATCATAGCAATCAAATTGAATGCTGATTCTACCTGTCAAACTGTGTGGTTTTGTGGACCTAATAATATGGTGTACTACAGTTATCTTAATTGTTCAATTAATTGTGTGACTAAATAGTGTGTGATGAAGTAATTGTGTGTGTGGAGAAAGGACGTCATCAACCCTAACCTTCCCAACTTCATCAAAATCCATCCCCCAAGTTTAGGGGGATTTTGGCAGACAAGCCATCCGTACCAAGTCCATCAAAATCCACTTAGAGTTGTGGTGGTCTTGTGGTGGATTTAAACATTGCATCTTTTTAAGCGTATTCAGATTTTTAGAGGAGAATACAAGTTTGCAATGTACGGGGTTTTACCGGGTACCTCAGGGTTCAACCAGGAGTTTAATTGTTTAACTTTGCATTCATCCCTTATGTTGTTCACAACGATTCTTGCAAACCATACAATATGGTTGATAAGTCGGTTTCATTTATTCATGTTCAAAGGTTGTGCACTTTTCAATTATTTTATTTTCACCAATGACACCAAACCACTCAAAATGTACACGGTATTTCAGTACGTGAGGGAAGTTCCAAGTCAAGTTGTTCCGTATCACATAACTGCATGCCTGGCTCCATCGGCAGCATATCACAGCATATCTTACCACCAGACACTACTATAAGTAAGATAAACATGTGAACTTTTATCTTAAAATAAACCATTTTTACAGGACCACACATCTCAAGGTTGCCCAAGCATGGTCCAAGTCACCTCTTTACCTTGGAAACCAGGAAAGCTACATTTTCTCAGTGTCAATTAAATAACACTTCAAGAGGCCACTTCATCTTTTAACAAAAAGAAAAGTCCACGTTTTGATCTTGGGAATAAATTATATTTTCCAACCAAAACATTTGTATTGTGTCGTGTGGCTGTGAGCTACATGCTTTGTTGCATGGGAACACACAGCTCTATTTTCCTTTGACTGTCAATTTCACCAAGTGAATGGACGCTAGCCTTGGGCGGCTGGAGAGGTGTCAAGTTGTGTTGGTGGGAAAAGGTTGGGAAAAAACTTGAAGGGCTTGTGTGTTGCCACTGAATGAATATGAAATCAGA